ACAGTTCGGTTCAAAACCGTAGGAAACCATGGCTAAAGAGACAGGTTAATCCAGAAGGCTTAGGAAGCCCTCGATGTTGAAACAAGAGATATTCACTCTTTCCACAGATCCACTTAATTGAGCAGGACAAACCACGTCCGTGAGCCGAGTAATTAATCGTGGCACCGTAAAGCACGACGGCCAGCAATTCAACGGCCGGAGTTGACATATTATGCCTCCTTTGTATTCTGATATTCCTACGTAACACGAAACGGGGTAGCTACGAAAACGCAATTCATAATGATTGGTGATAAAGCACGATATTTTCGACATTGCAGCAGTGAACAGGTTGGTGGTACGATGACCCTTACGGAATCCGTATGCGACCGTTACATCCATGAGTGTCTGGGGAAATTATTGATTACACGTTTCATCATTTTAGAGATCGATGGGAACAGCGACAGTGGATGATACTTAACCTCGTTTGCTCTTCGTCCATCGTCACACACCGGAATGGTATTAGGGGTTTCAAAGAATCGGTGCCCACGTATACGCTAAAAATGCGGGTATTTATATAGGCGCTTATAAACATTAAACTATGCGTCAATATTCGTGTATATTTCGAACGCACGAATATCTATATCTATCTATCTAACTATATATATACATATATATATATATGTACGTGACACTGGTGAGTAGCACAGTAGCATAGTAACAAATACTACACTGAAAATCTCGGACTTCGGCTGGATTCCAACCAGTGACAATGGCCCATATATGACATGTGCTCTACCAGCTGAGCCACGAAGCCATGCTGAAAGACTGGAAATTTCATATTGCATTACCATTGTTGTAGAGGTTTTCGACAGGTGTATGTACTTAAGACATTGTATCAGAGGTGGCGGAGATAGAGAGAATGAAATAGACAATTGTGCCTCCAAGATTATGGCGGTATTCGTCGATCGGGAACATCACTGGCGATAGAGAAACATCTTTCTAAAGCTTGGGTCGTGTATAGGAAGCTATTGTAAGGACTGCGCTACTTTGTGGCTCATAAACGACCGCTTACAGTGAAAGATGTGAACCGACTTTAGGAAATTGATCACCAATATTTGCGCACGGGCAACGCCAAAAGGTAGGTAGTTGTTTGGCGGCGAGCACCACGCAGGTTCCTTTGTTCAATTTTTAAGTTTGCACAGGTCCAAATGGTTTGGACGTGTACAAAGAATGCTGGTCGGTCTTCTGCTACCCGAAACACTTTTTGCAGTTGTTGAGGCCGACTGGTATAATGTGAGAGATTGACAGATGATCATGACAGAAAAGTATCGCCTACTAAGGGGTTGACCACTGTAGATCGAGTTTGTCTCCCTGGCTAAGGCCCTCGCGAACGATAGAGTCGGTGGCTGGAGACGTTAGATGAGATGGCCACTTATCGGACCCAGTGGCGTGACAGTTGCCGTTGTTCGACTAAGTGTTTTGTGAAGTAAGTGCGTCACCAGCGTGACACCAGCGTGTTAAAAACCGTGAAGCTGCCTTGCTGATGACGCCTTATTGCCAGCCTTGGTTCGACTGGTTGATGGCAAAGTATATGCATCTTGATGAAAGATGTCTCAGTTTGTCGATTTTTCAACGATCAATACATAGGTTCAATGTTGGACGCCCAAACTGATCGGATTCAATCCAATGCCCGGAGTTTAGATTTAAAAAAACCAGTCGTCTTTTAGTGGTTCAGTTAAACATCAGCACGAATCACCGACGTAGTGTCTGGTTATTGAGTCACTGTGGGCGGAATGCTGGACCAGTGTGGTTGCTCCTCCATTTGGAGGCCAATCGGAAGGAGATTCTATTGGTATTATTCGTTTACCACTGTTCCTATCACTTGTTCGGGTTCGTGTTCAATATTTCGTGACCACGTTGTTGCTTGACCACCATGTGGTTTCTTGCAACTGTTGGTGGTCTCAGTATATAATGCTCGGTACGGTAAACGTTCAGCTGGCAAATGAAGTACTTGACCTAACCATCGCAAGCCATGCACCAAGAGTAGTCGACCAATTGATCGCGAAATATGAGGACCCTGACTGTTCCACTAAGGAAAGTGGATAACTGTCACCTGCCTTGCTGGGGTCCTCGTGATCACTCAAACCGCGGGTTAGAGACGCTATCCGAAATGGCGGTGTGTCGCAGTCAATGGTGTACCATTTCTAGTTCTTCCGCCTAGTCTTTTATTGATTTTCAAACTCATCAATAGCGTTTCCTCCTGGGATATTCCACGTCACTGTTGAGGTGAGTGGCGGCCCGAGTCACAGCAGCTTTTGGTCAGGCTCATGGCTGCTACGATGATGATGATGATCGCGCATCTCGGGCGTTCCGGAATATACGTTGGCGAACTGCCACATTGCTTACGCGATTGGCTATTTGGTGGAGACAACGATGGTCAAACACCGCAAGCTTGTTGATATCTTCCTGGCAAACAGGCCACGTTCCCGAACCATAGACCAAAACACAAAGGATTGAAGTCGTTTCTTACTAAGTTTTCTTCTAAACTAACCTGAATTTTAGTGGGTGCACAACTGCAAACCATTCTCCAGTAGCTCGGAAGGTGGAGGCAGTTCGAAAGCCACCGATCTTGGACCAATAAGAGTGGGCGAAACGTCCCACGAGGGCGCTCCCATACGCACAGACTGTCCTGAAACCATCGCTATCGTCCAAGAAGGTTTGCGGAATTTTGCTGCCATCCACAAATCCACCCTCGCTACTAGAACTGCTTTATCAAGCTCTTCCTCATGCTCTCCTATCTCTTGTTGTAACCAGCTGTATGGAGAAGTAGCCCTCAGTTGCGTGTGTACTAACTGTCTGGGTCTTTTAAACAAACCACAAAGTAAGACAGTTGGTCCACGAGATATTCTTGCTCTTACAGTGCATGTTCCTGAGTACTCACTATACCGAAAAGACTCCTCCCGTGGACAAACAGGAGGCTCTGTTGTCTTCTTAAGCCAGGAGCGTTTGGCGCCGACAGTCAAATGGGAATTTACCTCCCAGAGAAGTGTCACGTATTCTGGCTCAAACTTCAGCTTCATAGTCTTGACACACTCCTTGTCAGTGTTATTTACCGATCGCCGTCGTACAGCGCATCCAACGATGAAGTCATTTACGACACCCCAGACCGTTTCTTGTCTACACAGCGTTTCTCTCATCTTCTCATTATGGCTGATTTCAATGCACCCAAGCTCAACTGGGTAGCTGCTTCTCATGAAGACTTTAAATGCGGATTTTCAAAGTCCTTGACAATTTTGATCCATGAAGAAGCCTGGATAAAA